TAAATTAAAAAATGATAATAATGTGAAGTATAAAGTAGCATACAATTAAAGCACTCGAAAACAAGTAACTCCAAATGAATTTACTTAGGACTTGAGGAAACTGGAGATTTCAAACTTTAAATATAATTATATAGTGCAGATTCACTTCATGTAAAGCGACCTTCAGGGCAGATTGTCAATATAAAACTCAGTGTGTTTTATGAATGGAGTTCTGTTGAGGTTTTGACCAATAACCCTAAGTGATAACACTTTGTTGAGCTATATATTGCTTTATATTATTTAATAGTTACAAATAAATGTTCTTGCCATTTTTGTTGTGTGTGTGTGTGTGTGTGTGTGTGTGTGTGTGTGTGTGTGTGTGTGTGTGTGTGTGTGTGTGTGTGTGTGTGTGTGTGTGTGTGTGTGTGTGTGTGTGTGTGTGTGTGTGTGTGTGTGTGTGTGTGTGTGTGTGTGTGTGTGTGTGTGTGTGTGTGTGTGTGTGATGCATATGTGATGATCAGTGGAGGACTCTTGCCTGCAGCGTTCACACTAATGATCTCAGGCAGCGTCTCCCTGCTCTGCTCACATGGCTTCACTTCTTTGAATAATGCAGCGCTCTGGATGTTAAGACCCCAAATCCTCCTCTTCCTCAGATCTTTTACAGCAGTTACTCAACACGCAGTCACAGAAAATCAAAAGATGATTTAGTTTGACTGATATTGTATAACTTTGTTGACAGGTTTATGCTAAACTGTGTGTGTTCTTATAGACAGAGGGTCCATCAAGTATCACTTAGTGTTTCACTCGTCATCTTTCACCTCACTGTGGCAGCCATCTCTTTTATTGATGCAGTTTTAAGGAGTGTGAATTATTGAGCGACATTTCTCGATGCTCTGGCATCCTTTCATATTCAAATAGGATACCAGATGGGCATAGCCTATCCCCAGATAGTAGCTCTCTCTACATACTCACTTCTTAACCTCTTGAAGAGACAAATAAACGGATTAAGAAAAGAGAAAAAAGATTGACAATGTGGTCGGGCGTTTGCCTCGTGATGTTAAGCTACCTCCTATTTCTTAAATGAATTGTCTTCTTTGTGTGTTAATGCTTATGTAAAGCATGTCTTGTGTATGATACAGTATGTGCTATAGAAAGAAACTAACCTTCCTCTGTGTTTCCCCAGGCAGATGGGAAGGCAGTGGATGGCGGCCTGCTGCCTGACGCCAACGGGAAGGACCCGAACCCTGGTGGACAGACAGAGGGCTCCAAGTGGCAGAGACCACGGCTCACACGCAAATCTCTGATGAATTGTTGTCTCGTCAAGTGGATCATTGCCAGCACCACGCAACAAGGGCCAGGTACACACACAAAGGCTTACACAAACATGTGTGCATGATCATGTGACAGCAGGGAAAGTGGGACCCGAGGAGGGATATAAAGAAAGAGGACAGGTCTTCATTCACCTGCTCTGCAGAATACATGCATTTTAGAGCATCTACAACATATTTTGTGTATGTTCACGTCCTCTGTTCACTGTTTATGCTTCCCTTCAGTCAATGAATGTAGCTAGCTGCTTTCATTCTTACCTCTGATTCTGCGTCAAAGAATTTAGTTGAATCCACTACATATTCATTATCTTTATCTTATGCTCCTTATCCCTCTCTTTCCTATCACACATGCACAGATACACACACAGACCATATACTGTATATATAAAGACGTATAAAGATATATAAAGTACTGTTGTTTTTTCTTGGTTTATCCAACAAAAACAGTATGTTGACTCTGTGCTTACTTTTGACAGCAGGGACATTCATTCCTTTCTGCAATATGTCCAAACAATATCACATCATTTCCTAATTTTAAATTAGGACTATCTCATGTCATGAATTATGTTGTGAAAAGCAATCATCAAACCTTTCTTAACTTAGGTATTCATAAGGTGCCCCTGAGTAAAAAAGGTAATGTTAAATATCAACATTGCGTTCGTTTGTTTTTCCTAAATCAGGCTCAATTGCTCACAAGGCACTCGTGAGGATATTCATGATTATCCAGATAACGATAATAACCCCATTCCTCTTATTGCAAATGTGTTTTTATCACAACCCCCGATACATTTCCATAACCTCAAATCCCTAATTAAAATTCATACAAATAGTGATTAATTTCCCCTCTGATCTTTGATCAGCCTGGTTAACAAACACAGTGATGAGCCGGCAGAATGTCTCCGCTGGTGTTTTCCAGAAAGGACTGCTGTTTGTTATCCAGACTCGTTTACTGCTGACTTCTCTCTCTGCCGGCACACAGAGCCATGCCTCTGACAGGACACTAATGAAAACAGAGCAGGACTAATACTCTGGGGGCTGACAAACCATCCACTCAAACTTGAATCATAACACTGTGTTCAGCTCTAATTTGGAGCAGAAAACTTGTCTTGATTTTTAGTTATGAGGTTTTAAAATATATCTGTAGTTGGAATAAAGTTCAACTTCTGCTCAAACATTTCATTTCAAACTTTTATTTAACGAGATTGGTCCCATTGAGATCATAGATCTATTTTTCAAGGGAGACCTGCAGCATATAGGTTCCACATGAAACATAAAACAAGGACATTATACATTATATTTACAGGATACATAAACAAAACCAAAATATACTGTATATGTATTCTCACTCTCAATATTATATGAAACCATTAGACCATTGGTTACGTTTTAAAAGGAAATAATGTGTTAAAGGTGGGGTATGTAATTTTGGAGAAACCAGCTCGAGTGCGCTAGAATTTGAAAATACGCAGCCGAAAAAAATCTGCCATTTCCTTCAGACTTCCTTCCAGAGCCCCTCCTCCAACACACACGCACGCGCACATGACCAATGAGGGCACGAGATACGTTTGTGCACAGATGGAAAGGCTGACAGGGAGGTAGGCCATCCAGTTATTTTAGCCGGGCCGGCTCAGATGATTGGTCGTGCTTTTTACAGTAGGCCTACCACGGCTTCCACAGATGACGTTTTTTTAATGTATTTATTGTCAAAGCATTTAATATAATCATTGCTATCAAGATGTTAAGAGCATTCCATGGAATATAACAAAAAGTGTACCCCACCTTTAAGTGTTAAAGCATATCTCCTTAACTTTAAAGCAACTTGATCGCCATCTACTGGTGTGTAGACATGGTATCACCTGAGTGTTCGACAAAAGACAAGATGGTCTGCACTCACTCTCGCAAGCCTTGATGTATCATGCACAACAATATGATATATGCAAGTGCAAAATATGCAACAACAATTCTTAATAGTTATAAGATTGTGCAGGAAAATATGGAATTGCTGTGTAATGTTAAAACGTGATTCATACATTATTGTTTCTCTGATTTTGCGAGTGAGAACTGCAGCACATAGGATTAGCAGAGGATGTTGAACTTTTGTATTCACTTTGCCATCACATACTGTAGGCTATATATAGCTGTATTTACAGCTTTAGGACTTTAACTTTAAAGGCCCTCTATTATACTCTTTTTCAAAAATATATTATAGTTCTCTGATATATACAAAACATGTCTCTGAAGTGTTTGGCTGAAATACCTAACAGATCATGCGTTGTAGCATCCCATAAACCCCTCTGTTTCAGCCCTGTTTCAAAAGAGCTGATTCGGTGTCTAGCTTTAAATACTAATGAGCTGCTGCTGGCCACGCCCCTTTGTGATGTGTTTGGTTTTAAAAGAACACAATGGTGCTCTAGGAGGAGATTCAGGTGATAAGGTGTTACCTTGGTTGGTGATTGGCTAATGGTTGCACAACCCAAAAAATCATTATGACATCACAAAGTGGCCAAAATCTGATCAGCTCATTTTCAGACAGGTTTTTATAAAAATGGATCAGGAAAAAAAGAGAGGGGATCTTTTTTTACTGAAGCTTTCCGAATCTCTTAGCACAGAGGGGGGACATGTTTATATATAAAATACATGAACAGTGGATTTTGCACAATAAGTGACCTTTAATGTTGTACAAGTTGTTACAAGCCCTTAGGATTTTATTCATGACAACCTGGGAAATTCCTTATGTGTCTTTTGTATCTACTTTTGGTTAGAAGTTTGTTACTACTAGAGTTAACCTCAACAATAAACATTATCAAACCCTCTACACCTTTACAATCCAGCTTGAACTGGTTTGTTGTTGTTGTTTTAAAGACTTCAGTCTAAAGGGGGATTTAAAATCTCTCTTATAACTCAAGAGTGAGACGATCTTACAGAAATAATAAAAGCATGTCGTTTATTTGTGAGAAGTTTCTTTGTTTGTTACAGGGTTGGAGATGTCTTTTCTCTGCAGGAATGTGTGAAAGAGCCAAATATGTTAGTAATACATTCTCATGGTGGCTGCTGCTCCATCTCCTACACATGTTCTATTTAATATGTGTATTAGAGAGGAAGCTAGAGGTCAGCTTAAAGAGAGTGTAAAGATTGTGCGCTTTCTGTCAAATCTTATTTACTGTTAAAAGAAAATGTATGGTAATATGTCCACCTGATGATGGAAATGCTGCTTTACAATGGCATTTAGCATGGAGGTTACCATTTCATTTATAGTTCTTCAGAATCAGGTCATTAGTGATAGCAATGCACATTTTGAAACTATGTTTGACAAGGCAATTGGAAGTTTAATAAAACCTGGGCAACATCATTATTATTTTATTTATTTATTTCCTTTCATTTACATCAAAAAACTTCTCTTGAATTTAAAGGCAAGTTTCTTCGTTTTTGTTTTAACTTATTTACTTAAAAGTTAGAAATGAGTTTGTATATTGAGCAAAGTATGGAAAAAAACGATTCAATAAACAAAAAGTAAAAAACAACTGGGTGTAATCCCCCTTAAAAAAAATGCAATGTAAAGCACTTTTTGACAAAGAAAATACATACAAATCAATAAAAAAGCTAAAAGCATGCACTAAGAAAGAGGCTGTGAGAGAGCGACGCTTCGGGTGTTTCTTCCTGAGAGGAGAACCTGTGACGTGTTTGATGGATGAGCTGAGGCTCTGAGCTGTAATGCTCTCTCCTCAGTCATTAAAGCCTGAGGGGGAAACTGATGCACTGTCTGCATCTCTGCATGCTTAAGCCACCTCGCTGTATTTAATATGAGAACGGGGGTAGATCAGCACTTAGGGTGCATTAAACATTATACTGCTGCCTTATTGTTTATGTTAGGCCAGTTCCCACATTAGCTCATACATCTTGCATGTTCTCTAATGGCCGAGTTCGTTTCCTCCGTCGAGGTAGGATTAACCAACACATCAAAAACACTTTCTAAAAATCTATGTTTGTAAGTAAAGGATAACTAGTTAGCTAGACGATCAATCACCACAGTTTAAATCCTCTGACTCGTGTAAGGCAAAATCAAGCATATTAGGGAAAAATGAAGGCTATTATTTTGTAAAATGTATTTTAGTAGGCTGATTTATTGACGATTGAGTACTATTCTTCCATATACGCAACATAGGAACTTGTTTGATTTATGACACACAATTTTTATCAAAAGAACACAAACAATCACGCACTACGACATCAAATCTCCCTCTGAAATACAGCTGTTACACTGCTCTTGTGGTGTGCAGCGGCCAAATGTGTTTGGTTTTTTTGGAAATTGCACCATCCCAGTTCATCAGTGCACCGTAGCTGTTTGACTCAGACATTAAGTACAAGGCTATTTACATAAACCATCGGCAGCAATCAAAATGCATTTCTGGCCTGCCTTCTCTCCCTCTTCTTAATATTTATCTCTCAACAATTGATTTGCCCTCCACCCCCCTTTCCTACTTGAACTGAGTCCATTATGTTGTGCAGAGTCATCAGCTGTGAACTATTCTCAAACACTTACATTGTCCTCCGGCGGCACACAATAATACAACATGGAAGCATGAAAGGAGCATTTTACAGAGGCTTCTTATTGACCTCAAAGGTGTGCAGCTCATCGTTCAGCACAGATGTAACTGCCCTTTGCTTAACTACAGTGTCGTAAACAAAGCACCGGTTTAACAGTCACCGTTTTTTTTCGTCTTTAAGTGAATCCTGCTGAGTTATTGACTATGTTGTGCGGCTGGTTGACGTAGGAGAAACAAGCAGCGCCACACAGGGCAGGGCCGGCTCCTTCTTTATAAGTGCTGTTCATATCCTAGCCATCAGCGGATGTGGATCAATGCTTGGTTTTACAGCTTTGCATCCTTGAAATGACTGAGCAAATACAGACTGTCAATCAGGGACTATTAGCAAAGAAATTCCTTCAGTAGCAACCCCCTCCTGCCCCTACGAACCTCCAACACACACACTCAAACACACAGATCAGGACAGAGAGGAGATGGAGTGAGTGTGGGGTGGAGCCCCTGAGTTGATGGAGTTGTTGGACAGATCCTAAAATGAACTATCCAGGAGGTAAAACACCAGCTGTTGGATTTTTTGGAAAGCTTTGGATAATTGAAGTCGATTAACACTATGATTGTAATTTTTCTGCACACATGACAGACTTTTAATCCAAACGAGGATGCTCTGCAGGCAAATGAGGATTCTATTTGTTGCTTTATTGGTCAGTGGTTGAAGTCAGGGGTTTCTTTTAAGTGATCCTGGACAAGAGCCCTGACGTGGCAGGAGGAAGTTGACATCAAGTTTTTTTAAGAGGGCTTTTGCACAGGCGGTATCTAATGCAAGGCAACAATGGGAATGGATGGCATGGAAGTAATTGCCATTGCTGTTGTTATCGGGCTGTTTTATGTCGTGCTCAAACAGTTTGGAGTTTGGGAGCCCTTGTCACTCGAAGGTAAGACGTTGAGACCTTTGCATGGGATTTTCTGAAGAAGAAAAATCGTATAAACTTTCCAGTTGTTTTGTTGTGGTGCTAAATTATAAGTGAGTGCAGTCACATAAGGCAGCTGTAAAATATCAAAGGGATATGGATTATGGATTTCAAAAAGAAAGGATAAAGGATATAGAAATATTTGTTGTTGCTGTAATTGTTACTCCTGGGACATTTGAGGCAACCACAAACTCTTTCAGCGTACATAATAGCATGTTCACCTTAATAATGTTGTTGTTTTTTAAATGTGTTCACTGTGTTGGTATATTTGTGTCACTTTTAGAGATTAAGCATTAACAGTTTCTTCTTCCCCCTTTCATTTTCTTCATCACCATCTCTTGCTGGTCAACTTTTGTGTTGTGCTTTCTTTAAAGATGGTGAGTAGTACTTCTTGAGGTGTTCATTCTGGTATTATCAATAAGGTTTTCATTTTAATCCCAGCTATCTTTTGTAAACTTCTTTCCCTTCATTTGTTATCTAAATGAACTGTCCCTTTGGCTGATAGAATAATGCATATTCCCTTTTGGAAGACTTGTCAAACACGGTGTTACTAATATGAATTATGGCTGCCTTGTATTCAGGTGATGTTGCAGAATTTTTACCAATGTTAATTAGTCAAACCTGTGATTATAAAGCAAGTCAGAGGGTGTGTCTGAAATCCCTCTCTACTGTCCATTTATTTATCCAAATGTCAGAATTGTCACAAAAAAGTAACCATAAAGATGTAGATTGTATGTCTGTGTATTTCCTGTGGCAGCCTTATTTCTTCATGATTAATCCCCCCTTTTTTATAGCAGAAATGTAGATTTAAGAACAATTTCTTGTTAAAATGTGTGTTGAAGTTTATGCAGTAGCACACTTGTCAATTACAGGCACAAAATGATATTTATTTGTGTAAAAAAATCTCAATGTATTCCATACTATACGGTACATAAACGAGTGGTTATTATGAAGGAATAAGAGGTTTAGTGAAAGAGGGGGTTATTTTGGACACAGCCAAGATGTCAACAATTCCTTGAACTGCTTCCACCACTTCAATCGTATTTCATGCTTATTTCCTCTAACTACCCTCATTTTTCCAAGCTACAGTAGACGCTCCTCTAACTAATATATTTGTCATCTTCTTTATCAAAAAATGTCCCTAAATATTTTACACCACTGGTGTGTTTTTATCATATTTAAGCAATACTGTACATTCTTCTAACTACTTTGTTTTGTATCTCTTACCCACTTCCTTGTCTTACATATCCCTCTTTATTTTTTTCGAATTTCTATGTGGTCTGTACAGATGGTGAGCATTTTGAGTTATGTTCTGTACTTATATTTTGCCTCCCATCTATTATGATTTTCTAGTATTTTCAACTCCTCTCCTCCCTGTCCTTTGTGGTTTTTCTTTCTTGTCCTTCCCCTGTTTCCTCCTTCTTTTTTTCTTCCCCTTATTTCCCACCCCACCCCCTATTTTCTCTGTGTCCCACTGACAGACAGCTGTGACGGAGAACTTGAACTCTCCATGGTGCGTCACCAGCCCGAGGGCCTCGATCAGCTCCAGGCCCAGACACAGTTCACCAGGAAGGAGCTCCAGTCGCTCTACAGAGGCTTTAAAAATGTATGAAAACAATCAGTCAGCGCTAGTGGATCTGATTAGAGAGGACGAGCCTTCATCTTAACGAAAACTGTTAATAGTAACGGTGGCTCAGGGGTCTAGTTGAGACGGATCAATCATTGACCAGAATAAAGCTTGCAGACACATTTATATTTACATTACACCATATATGAGGCCAAAATGATGTGGATGCCCCAATAATTACCCATATGTGGTTATTTAACATATTTCCCAAACAATTAGGATTAATATGCTGCTACTATAAATCTCCACTTGTCAGGCTATCCACAAAATGTTGTTGACAAAACAATGGGTAATGAATCGACAGTTAGTGACGATTTATGTGCCTTTAAGAGAAGAAGAAGAGTGCAAGCTAATGTTAACAAATCAGACTTTAATTAAATATAAACAAATGTGTTCACGTTCCTGAGCCCTTAACGTCACATAATGGTAAGAGACCTTCAGAGTAAAGAAACTGTAATGAAATATCTACAGGGGGACTTGCTCTGGGTGCTCTGCTAAGTTAAATCTAATGGGAAAATGCCATTTTAAGAGATTTTAGTTTCAAAATCTAATGTTCTCTGTCTGGCTGTTACTGTTTCCTTTACATGCACTACTTGCATGTACCTTGATTTACTTAAGGAATTGTCTCACCAGAGTTTACACATGTGCCTTAAGGCTTTTCATTGCTGAAGTAATCTGCATTGTGGGTATTTATTTTGCAAAAAAAGCACCAAGGGCCCCATAGAGATTTTCCATAAATAGTGACGTTTTTGTAAGTTATTTATGCCCTCCAGTGGCCATACATTAGATCTGCATTTCAGGCAGGGGCTGATACTGCACAGGAGAATACATAGAATGCCATTAATGAACCATTATTGTCTGTTATTCTTGTTATTACATAACTCTAACTGTAATTTCAAATATAATTCATTATTAATAGTGTACGCTCTGACTTCAATTATGTCAATGTTTATTTCCTTCCACAGGAATGTCCCAGTGGGCTGGTGGATGAGGAAACGTTCAAAAGCATTTACTCTCAGTTCTTCCCTCAAGGAGGTACAGTATTCATTTAATAAACTGGTGTTATATAAGCATCTGATTCTCAGTATACAACTAGTATCTTTCTTAAGTGTATTGTATATTCATTTTATGTTCTCAGACGCAACCACGTATGCACATTTCTTGTTCCAAGCATTTGATATGGACAGAAGTGGCTCCATCCGGTTTGAGGTGAGTGCACCACTGACTGAATATTTGTGGAAGAAACCAAAAAGAGAGGTTATAATAATACGTCTTATTGTTTTTACAGGACTTTGTGATAGGACTGTCTGTGTTGCTAAGAGGCTCTGTCACAGAGAAACTTCGATGGGCGTTCAACCTGTACGACATCAACAAAGATGGCTACGTTACAAAAGAGGTAACTTCAACAAACAGGAAAACAAAGCAAAATGTGTTGAAGGGTCTTCATTTCTGTCTGTGTCTCTGGTTTCCTGCAGGAAATGATGGCAATAATGACGTCAATTTATGACATGATGGGCCGATATACCTTACCCAGTGTACGGGATGATTCTCCATATGAGCATGTGGAGAGATTCTTCCAGGTTTGTTATCTATGCAGCCACAAAGCTTAATAATGTAAATACATCCAGTAGGCCTATACTGTATCAAGTCACAGTGTGTGTCAATGAACCTGTATACTGTAGGGTTTTTGACCAGTGACACTCTCTCAATAACACAAAGCCGTTTGTTTAATCATTCTGAAGGCTGGACCTCTTTTAAAACCACAGATCATCATTATCATGTTGTGACACACTGTTGTACTTTAGATAAATATCATTTTACACTTGATTAATTGTGCAATATTTCCTTTCCATGTCTGACATTTTTCAGAAAATGGATCGGAACAGAGACGGCGTGGTGACTATTGATGAGTTCATAGAAACCTGTCAAAAGGTAAAACTCTGGTCAAACTGAGTGAGTTCATGCAGCTTTCAAACAAACAAACACATTTTCTCTTCCATGTGCTTTTGTTTCTCAATAGGATGAAAACATTATGGCTTCCATGCAGCTCTTTGAGAACGTCATCTAGTTTAGAGACGGGGATCAGTAAAGCGCTTCCAGCTGCAAATGAAATAACTTCATCCTTCCTGGAAAGGGTAAACCAGGTCATGCAACATATTTGACTCATTTTAACACACAGTGGAAACAACTATTACTTTTCCCGTCCAACTGTTCTATGCAGAGAAGTGTGCAGAAATCACCACAAGCGTTTTTTTGCATGACAATTGTTTTTATGTACATGAAGGGAATGTGAAAAAAGTCACCATACCAGATGAGCATGAGTGAATGCCCAACAAAGCATGTGATGCAAACTACATTGAAGACAAACAAAAAGTATATTTATGTTTGAGTTCTACAGATTGTTGTGTCCTAAATGTGACCCTGTCATTGACATGTTGATGCAAAACCTGCTGAAATAAATAAACTACCTTCACATTCTGAAAGATCTACTGAATATCTTCACGACACACACAGCAGGGATGTGTGCAAGCGGGGCTTAATTATTTACAGAATAAACAGTCTTGCACAACTCAACATCTTGCCATGATTACATCAGACGTCTTATATTTGAAGTTATGTAAATGTTCGGCTGCAAAACATCAATAAAACGAAGTACTATGCAACTTCCTGCTTCCATGCTACATGCAAAAACAAATCAAATGAGTCAATCCTTTGTACACAAGATAATGAACAAATTGTCCAAGTCAGACGTTCTTTGATTTTATCCTGAAACAAATTCCCACTATTTTTAGCGTTTCGGTTTTTTCTGAACAATCATCTTCCTTATTCAAAGTCCTGTGTTGCTCTCATACTTCTGTCTAGCATCACAGTCTTGGTATTTCCTAAAGAAAATGTTAAATGGTTAAACCCTGCTGGCTGTTGAACTTCTTCTGCGTGTTTGACCAATTCTCTATTTGTATGCACATTGATTTTCCCAGTTATTCAATTAAGTGCTCATGTGATCTATTTCAGGGTCCTTGGTGGACGATTAACACAGCAAAAGTACAGAATTGTTTTATTTATTTTCAAACTAAGAAACTGTGAAGACTCAAGATGCAACTCTTCCTTCCTTCTTCATTCTTTTATGGTTAAAAGTTTAAGTCAGATGTCCTATGCTTTCAACAGTCAAATGAATGAATGACTCTGTATTGTTTACGTGTGTTATAGTTCAGCTAGTTATGATTAGGCGGACATCTTTTTGAGAGGATTTAGGTATGTTTTTTTTGGGAAACCAACCATTCATTTTTCTAGCAATATTCAATCTGCAAAGCAAAGTCTGACTAGGCTCCTGTTACAGTTGAGATAATGATTCACTGTCCTAATATCAAACACTACTATGCAGAGCCGGCCCGACCCATTAAGTGACATAAGCGGCCGCTTAGGGCCCCACAGCCACTAAGGGGCCCCCTAGCAAAAATGAAAAAAATGAAGAAGAAAAAATGAAAAAAATAAATAATCTCAGTACACCGTCGCCGTGATAAGTATGTTTAAATAATTGTGTTAATATGCCTAGATTGCCTACTCTCAAAGTCATGTATTATATTATTGAGTCAACAATATTAATACATTAACCGTGCTTTACCTGAACCTCATCATGACACAAGAGAGGACGGCAGGATTGTAATTTCCCGTGTTCAGTGAATGCAACAGAGGCAAGACACCAGACCAACCAGAGAGTTGAATGGAAACAAACATCTGTCTTATTGGCTGACAGGTACCTATCCTGTGAGCAGTGATAATGTTTAAAATAAACTGTCAGTCGGACTCAGAGTTTTTGAAGATGGACATAAGAACATTTTTTCTTAAAAAAGACGACAATTCTCAAGTGGTGGCTCACACAACAACCCCAGAGCCACCACTTGAGCCAGGTAAACAAGGTAAGTAAATGTCAGTAAACTTCCAAGTTATGCGAGCATATAAGCAAAGCATAAATTACAGCTACGTTGACGTTACTTTGAATCGCGGGGGTAAGCTAAACCGTTAGCAAGTAGCTATAGCTACCCAGATATATTAAATAAACACTTTGTCATACAATCTAAATGTAATGTTTTTTAAAAGAAAGCTCTGTAATGTTGACTTACTGTTCGACATGAAGCTAGAAGCTACCTTACAGTACACAGTTGATCCGGAGTCCTGTCAGTTAAAGTGTTTCATATAGTTAAAACCTAGCACTGAAATATATGGATGTTATGTGACAGTATTTCTGAGAAAAAGTCAGCTGAAATGGTGGCATAGTTGCCACTGCTTTACGTGTCAACAGCATGTTTGAACGTATTTGCAGCAGTAAGCGTGCCCCCGGACCCCCCTAGAGGAGGTTAGGTCCACGGTGTTTACATGCTTATTTATACAATATGTGTGCTCATGCTAACATCGTAAGACAAAAGTTGGTTCCGTGTTATGTGTAGTGAGAACGCGCTAGAGTGATAGGGGCCCCCAAGCCAAAGCTCGTTTAGGGCCCCCAAAAGTCTAGGGCCGGCCCTGCTACTATGCTTTCTTCCTGTTAAGTTAATCCAGCTGCAAGTCCAGTCAGGTTTATGAGGTACAGGTTTATTCACTCAATAAAATCTGAACATTAGACTCGTGCAGGTGTAAACATGTCTGATTTTAATATATAAAAGAAAATCCAAACACACAGAACCATGGTAGAAAAGTATTCAGTACAGACAGTAATATCAGTGTCTTTGGTCGATCATATCACCCCTGTTCTCATTTAATTGCATTGGCTCCTGATTCACATAAGATCAGACTTCAAGATTTTACTGTTAACCTTAAAAATCTTACATGAACTAGCAACTCCCTATTTATCATCATTAATTACCCCGCCTCTATCTACCAGGCTCCCACGATCCCAAAATCCCAGTCTCCTTTCCATCCCCAGAATTCACAATTCCTCAGTAGGTGGCAGAGCCTTTTCCTTCCGAGCACCTCTCTTTTGGAACGTCTTCCCATTCAGATCCGAGAAGCTAATTCCGTTGATTCCTTTAATAAAAAGAAAACTCAAAACACATCTCTTCTTATCTGTCTTCCTTGTCACCTAGTTTCCATCACCATAGTTTCCATCTTCATTAGCATCACTTCTGTTTGGTTTTACATACACATGAAGTTGTTCATAATGTTTTTATCATTTTTGTGCTATGATATTTGTATTTTGTTTTTATTTTGTACAGCCCTTTGGGGCATTTTTTGTAATATCATTGTTTTGTTTTGGCATCAGCCTTTGCATTTGGAGGATAATGGGAGAAGACTAGGTGTTGCAACTGTATGTGAACTGCCACCATCAGCTAAAACCATTCAACCTGTACTGTATTATTGATCTTGGACCAATGGCAAAGCGTGGTTTGTTTTGGGGAGGAGCTGTGTTGCTCTGTGGAGTAGATGTTTGTTTAGAAATTATACTGATACCAAAATGCTGCTCTTCTGTGTGGCAAGTGTTGTGGTTTGAAAAAGGACTGCCGCTCCAACATCACTGCCTCCGACCAGAAAGGTAAGTTCATTATCTATTGTTTTTAATTAACATCAAAGTGGATGGTATCACTAAATTTTACCTGTGTGACTTAAGATGTCAATGATCTCCTTCCAGGTGCATTGGCATGATACATGGAGTTGCATATCCACTTTGATACAACACTATCTTCTGCAATGTTTATCTGAGACCGTAAAAACCTATTCATCATGGAAAGGAGAGAAATATGCATCACACACACATAATGCCCACTGAGCCCAGTGTTGACAGAGCATGTGGATGGTTCTGGATGTCTGTTGTGTTAGTGCTGGTGAGCATGTGACTTTTGATGTGCAACCGGCTCAATCAAAAGCTGGTATGGACGTCAGCCAACAGACTTAACAATAGTCTCTTTGTCTCTCAAAGAAAGGAATAAATAACCTATGCAAAAACACAAACACAGCAATATGGATTTGTATTTGACCAGGCTCCAATCACCTGCCACTCTTTTATTTGTTTAGGTCTTCAGTAATGATTGGCCAGCAGAAGCTTCTCTCGCTGTGGGTTTTGCTGTTGCTCACTGCAGCTCTGTGCCCAGGTGTGAACAGTAAGCGTGGCTTTAAGGGTCGTGGAAAAGGTGATGATGATGATGATAAAGCGCCTTCCTCTCCAAGTAAAAGCCTCTCCAAGAAGGGCCTGAAGTGGGCGGGAGCAGCAGCAGCAGCCGGGATGCTGGGAGGCACCGGCACCGGACTGGGGTTCTTTGGTAAAGGAAAACACGGATCTGGGAAACATCATGGCCACAAGACGTCCTCTTCCGAGCATGATCAGCGGCCTCATCACAATGAAAACCAGAGATTTCACAACCATTCCCTCTGGAGAGCCTTTGTTAAGTCAGCTGCCCCCGCTCCTACTACTAACATCTGCCTCACACTTGGGAATGTGTTGTCCTTCCTGATAGCAGCCTGGATCAGGGACTTTTGAGCAACGTCCGATCACAGGAAAAGCATTCAGTCATTAAACCAAATGAAATAAAAGCTATTTTAAACAATATTCTTCTTTGTGCAATATTCTTTTCCAGTAAAATGAGGTTGCTAAGGTCCCTGAGGCTTTAGCAACCCAATTGTAATGTTATATTTTACAGCCTGATTCCAGGATGATTACTCGCTCACACGCTTTGACTACTTTCAAGCCATGCAACAATCTCTTAGTACATAACTTGGGACTGAGTAGAATAAGTGTATGAATTGACATTTGGTGCTTTTATATGGTAATTATAACAACTTCATCAAACCTTTCTGAATAGCAACTAGTTGTTGCAGCTGTTTTGAACTTTTCTCCATTTACAGAACATATAAATCATGCATTACAAATATTTGCCTTATTATAATAGAGCTGGACTGCGAATAACTACTGGTTACAAAATATAATTAGTTAATCCCTTTTTCGTTTTCTATGCTTTGATGTTATGATTTAATATTAAATGAGTTAGAGGATATTGTTATGTGACAGGGTGAAGGTATATCGTTAACACATAAAGACCCTTAGTTTGTTACTTATTTTATTTAACACATAAACATCCATGACAAACAATATTAAATCATATTAGTAATCCAAAGCGTTAACAACTGGGAGATCTAGATCTCTGCACTCCCTGTGAGCTCTGTGACGCAGTTGCAGAATATCTAAACCTAAGTGAAATAAGTGCACTTTACAGATATTCTACAGTCTAGACAGAATGAACATGTTAAATTCATTTATAATCAACATTGCTAGAATCAAGAAAAGGAAAAAAGCAGTATGATAAACTAACTGAGATCAAAACAATACAAATAAATCACAATACAACAGTGCATATCACTTCCAGATAAACTGTCAACATTTGGACAGTATTCAATTCATTTTCTTGGTTACTACACACTAAACATAGCGTGATTAACATACCAATAACAGACAGAACACAGTACTGTCAATACTCTGAACTGTACAGGGACAGTTTTGTCCATAAACTGAACATTTACTTGGTTGAAACTCCCTTCCTAATCCTGCAAACTTCATTTACAGTACAATCTTTTGAAACATAATCACAAAGTGCATTATAAAACCAAGAAACCAGAAATATTTAAAACTGTCAGATGTAATCAAACAAACTGGGACAGTAAGATACATTTCTAATACACAAACTTACAGCGGGAGCAAAATCAGAGCAGAAGTTTAATTCCTGGAGTCAAAGATCATAAAAAGCGAAAATTCAACATGAGTTATTTACAGATCTGCCAATACCCAAAATGTGACTGTTATAATGCGGGAAGATGGATAGCCTGGAAACATGGAAATCCCAAATTCAAACAACGTGAATAGACTGTGTATAATGAGCAGGGTTACATATAGAAAAGCTTAGTTCTTTGATGGCAGAATTTAAGATGAACGTATTGAATTGTTGTAGACATTATCTGTCTGAAACCTCAAATCCCAGCATGTACGGCACAGTTTTAAAGCATCAGGCGCAATGATCAACAAATTGATCTCAACAGCTGCAGACAAACAGCCACATCACTTCACCGCTAATGGCTGCACATCGAAAGATTCATGCTCACTAACTGCCTAGGGCTAAAACATGCAATACATGAATTTACAGGCAACACAGAAGCAATTTGTAGGTTTTATGTTCCTGAGAAGGGGGGGGGCTTTGCTTTTGTGGCATATTCAGTCTTGCACTGACTGCCCACATTTGAGTTTGTAATGGTAAGCCATTTATCTAAACGGAAATGCACTTCAACATTTTCCATTATGGTTAACAGAATTTCGTGTTCATAAGGGAAGCTTGATTTCATTTGCAAACACAATTAGGGCCAATCAAAATGTCCCATTCCTTATTTTATGGCATTTAAATGCATCTCACTGTCCAAGACATTTATTTCTCCTTTCTGGTATAACATATCTTCTTTTGGGCTTTTAAAAAAAGCTGAATAATTTATCTCTGTTTGTTCCCATTACCAAACTTACATTATTTGGAAGTGATCAACTCCCCAGCACATTGCAATGACAATCAGAAAATCTACTTTGAAAACACAGCTTGTAAAAGTTAGTTAACCCTGGCTTAAACATTCATTTATATTTCATGAAAACACATTTTCCTTTGATTAAGCATTTTAATCAATTGACATATCAGTCTGTCCAATTGCCCAGTATGATAATAAAAAAGTATGAATGGTGGAATGATGTTAGTTGCATGTTTGTGTACCTAATTTAAACCCTTAGTGTCATATTCCTATCTTATACAGTAGCATTAAAAAAGATGTCACAATACATCGTCACAAAAACTGATCTGTGCAATAATGTAGAGTACAAAAGTGCAAAATAAAAAGAGATGCAAGACTATTTCATGAGAGAATTGACAAGAAACAAATGTGCAGCTTGTACAACACACAACTAATGATCGAACTGTAGAAGTTTAAACTGATAACTGCTTCTTATAACTGACTTGGTTATATACACATATAGAGGATAATAGAGGATTGACTAAATGTGACCGGAAGATATTCATAAGTGTTGAGTGATGTGCAGATTTAATGGAGGACGTAGAAATTCATTTGGGGTATGGAAACAGGAACACTAATGGTTCTCACTGGAGTAAGAGCATGCTGGAAAGAAGCATCAGGACAGATGTGAAAAGTTGAAACATCCCGAAGCTCGGAGGGCTGCTGTTATTTTCTGCCATTCTCTGCTCTGCTCTTTTTCGTTCCTGCAGGAAGCGCTCAGAGTACTCCATGTACTTCTCAACACATCGCCTGGACTTCATCTGGTCAATTAGGGCTGGGTATCCAATCTCCTCAATGCCGACGGTGTCACCATCATCCTGGTCGCCTGCCTGGTCTTTAAGAAGATCAGTCTTATTCATGCAGCTCTCCATGAACTTGTCGTAAGACTCGGCGCGTGGAGGAAGCTTGTACTCATAATCACGGCCGTAATCTTTTTCATCGGTGGATTTGGTGCCATACTTGCGGTACATGTAACTGTTGTAGTGTTGTTCTTCTTCAGGGTTGCGGAAATTGAAGTGGGGTCGTGGGAAACGCCCTAATCCATATCCAACGGCCATTCCAGCCACAGCACCAACGCCTGCCGCCATCATGGCTTTTTTGGCAAAACCTGAAGATTGGGGCTGGTAACCCATATTACTCACAGAGCGGGAGAAAGGAGAGCCTCCCATCCCACCACCGTATCCTCCACCACCACCATATCCTCCACCATATCCTCCTCCACCGTAGCGGGGACTGAGGATCTTATTATTTGGGTTCCAGTTGGTGTAACCGCCGACTGCTCCACCTGGGTAACCACCGCCTCCACCACCGCCTCCATAACCACCGCCTCCATACCCACCGCCTCCATACCCACCGCCTCCATAACCACCACCTGGATATGGAGGGGGCTGACCATAACCCTGTCCTGTATTTCCTCCTCGGACTGGGTAGCCTCCTGCAGCTGGATACTGCTGGTTAGGATATCCTCCTGCAGGGTTGCCAGCTCTGCCTGGATATTGGCCTCCTGCTGCTGGGTAGCCTCCTGCAGCTGGATTCTGATTTGGATAACCTCTTGCTGGGTTTTGGTTGGGATACCCCCCAGCGCCTGGATAATTACCTCCAGCTGGATATCCACCTGCTGGGTTCTGGTTTGGATAACCACCAGGATTGGCTCTACCAGGCTGCTGGTTTGGGTTACTACCGACTCCTGGATTATTCGGGGGGTTTTGCCTGGGAACTCCTCCTGGATTAGGTTTGGCCGCTCCTGGATAACTTCCGCCAGCAGGATATGGGTTGCTGTTTCTATTTGGATTCTGGGGCTGCCGAGGGTAATTTGCTGGCTGAGATGGTGGCTTAGATTGTGTTTTTGTGGATGACGTTTTTCTTCCACTGCTGCTGCTTCCCCTTTTAGCCCATGTTGATTCAGTGTTTAGAAGAAACACAACAACAAGGGACAGAAGAGCGACCTCACACAACCTTCCCATCATGGACCTAAAGAGAAAAAGTGTTTTACGGAAATGATCGTAAAAAGAATCAAGCATTGAGAAAACAACATCGCTTTCTCTGTTCAGGATGACACGTAAAATAGCCCAGGAATTCCTTTTAATTATCATTGAGAGCCACACAGGATTTATTTATATAGGCTAAACACATATATTTTTCTTATTACAAGAAGATAGTCCTATTACACTGAAATTGAGAGTAGACCGTAATTTCAAAGACATTCAAGCGGAGCACCCATTGTTATCAAATGATGTCCATAAAGAAATAGGCCTAAATCAATTCAATCAATATGCCACGCATAACCACTATGAGCAAACAATGTTTGTATTTTTCAAACAGTCAAACATTGCATAATTAACACGCTGTCCTTTAGCTCAAACACGACCACTGACGCTGCATCATGTCATAATACAGGCGCCTTTTATCCCATCCAGCCTACCAACAAAGGTCTCAATAACATTTTAATGGAGTATTCTATTAATTAAGTATTTCTTACCCTGATCCAATGGTTTTCTTGTGGGTTGGATATTAATTTGGTGGAAATACGTTGTTGTCCTCTCTCTCGCTCGGCTCCGTTATTGTAGCTCTGGCTAAGGGTGGCTTTGCCTAGTTTGGGTGCGCTCGTTTTGATGTACTGCAAGCAGCCTGGAGGCAATAGAGGCGGTGACAGTTCGCTGTGACGCAATGATCATCATGAGACAAAAAAAAACAAGATTCATAATTTCCGATATGTTTTACTTTCAGTGACTAACTGATCGATTATACCCCATTTTTTTCTCCTTATTGTGTAAGGTTGCATGTTTGTTTTACTCATTTCAGGGATTTGCAAGAAAAATACATTATTCTTAAATAATGTTATATTTGTGTTGGAATTAACATAGTATTCTGAAAAGATGTGTTTTATTTAACTATAATGTTTTGTTATATTTTTTACAATAGAAATATCCCTGCTAATTTTTTCTTTACTAATAATTATTAAATAACAGTAGTTTTGTCTCTATTTTTTT